CCAAGGTTGGAGACCCCTGTTCTAGACTCAAGCCTTCGGGTTGAGCTGCCGTCAGTTTACAGACAGTCCTCGACTTAACGACCGGTGGCTTAGCGATTGGTCGTAAGTAACCTCCCTTACAACCCAGATTCGAAGTTTCAGCCCCCCCCTCCCCATCCTGCATTTTAGATCTTTGACAAACGGCCTGCATGTGTAGCCTATTTGCATCTCATGACTGCCATTAGCGATGGGGTTGGTTTTTTTTGGGCCAGACAATGGAATTTACTTAGTTTCTGGCAAAAAACAACAACAACACCCCACCAGCCTTTGCAGACAATGGATTCGCTTAACGGCCTTGGTTCGCTTGCTGTGTGAGCCCAGCGCTCGCATAATGACAGGCACCACCATAATTCTGGATTCAGTTATGGACGTAAGTTGAGGACTACCTGTAATACCGCAAGTAGCAGCGATCTGGGCTCCGGTGCAGAGAAGTTCTCGGGGGAGTGATAGCTTTTGCAGTTCCTCCCCCCCCCAAAGAAAGTGTCTTCTTTCTCCATCTCCCTGCTGTCATCTCTTCCCTACCTTAGAGTAAGCGCCATGTTGTTACAACAAATGGCAACTTTCACACAGCTCCAGGGGAAAACACAAGTCGTAAGGCCCATTTTTTTTCAGGGCTGTTGCAGCTCTGAATAGTCACTAAATGAACTGTTGTAAGTTGAGGACGACCCGTATTGGATGATCAAATAAGGAAGGGGGGTCTAAGGCAGATCTGGGTGCTCGGTGCAAATGGGGGCGGGGTTGGTGCAAAGGCCTGGCAGGGTCTTCATGGATATACACACACCCCTTCTTCCGGCAGTGCTTTGGGCTCGGACACAACCCCGCTGCCTTCCTGGGCGGCCCTCAACAGCAGTGCCTGGGGCAACCTGAAGCAGGCGCTCAAAGGCCTCTCGGTAGAATTCGCCATGCTGGCCGACAAAGCTGTGCAGCAGGTGAGCTGGGGCAGGGGATGGGGGCAAGGGTGGCATGGGAGGGGGTGGGTTCCCTCCCCCCCTGAGATTCATTGATGTTTCCGTGAAGATTGCAAAGCAGCGCCTGGCTGGCCGATCCTCAGTTAGCGACCGCCTTCTTGGCGAACGTCCACACTAGCCACAGGGACGAAAAAGTCCACCGGACTTTATATATATATATGCAACTGAGCAAAGGAAGACGGGAGGAAGAACGTAAGCACCATTACGGTTTCCCTTAACGACGGCGTCCGCTTAACGACCAAGAAGATGCCAGTTCCGGGTTCAGTCTCCGAGCAAGGGCAGCCTACAAATCGTGGCCGTTCGCCGGGCAATTGCCCAGGATGGGATCCTGTTGATTAACTCATTATAAAAAAATAAGGAAGAGCCATCGGAATTCACAGCTGTATTAGAGAAAGACGTGTATGAAAACGAATGTCAGTTTTTTAGGGGGAGGGGGGTTTCACTTAATGACTGCATCGCTTAGTGACGGACATGCCGGTCTCAACTGTGGTCACCAGCTGAGGACTACCCGTATGTGTGTATGTAGATATGTATGTGCGTGTGTGTGTATGGATATACGCACACACACATGCCCATACACAGAATACCTGCACATCCATCCACCCACCATCGCTTTCAGCTTCAATTTCACTACCTCCCCCCCCATCTTTTATCTTCTGTCCGTTGAAAGATTCCCCCGGAGAGCTTCCTTTCTGAGACGGGATCCAGCCTGCAAGGGGCCACTTCCCATCGGCTTCCTCCCTTCCTGCCTAGGGCGGGCGGGTGGGCGCGGGTGAGCAGCTGCCCCCCACCTCCCCACCTCCCCCATTCACGGGGCCCTCTTTCATTCTGCTGCCCAGGGTAAACAGGAAGAGAACGACGTGGTGGAGAAACTCAACCTTTTCCTGGACTTGCTCCAGTCTTATAAAGTGAGTCCCACGTTCAGTCCAGTTCAGTCCGTTTGTTTGGGGAGAGAAAGGCTAGGCCATGGCTGGGGACTGGAGGGGAAGCAGGAAGTGTCCGAAACAGGAGAATCAAGAAATGAAAAAGGTGAAAAATGGGTGGGTGGGTGGATAGATAGATAGAGAGAGAGAGAGAGAGAGAAAGACAGACATAAATGATAGTGATAGGTAGGTAGGTAGGCAGGTAGGTAGGTAGGTAGAGAGAGAGATAAATAGATACAGACAGACAAATTGATAGAGATAGGTAGACAGAGGTAGACAGACAGACAGACTGATAGATGATAGAAAGGTAGACAGGCAGACAGCCTGATAGCGATAGGTAGGTAGGTAGGTAGGTAGGTAGGTAGAGAGATAAATACAGACAGACAGACATAAATGATAGAGATAGGTAGACAGAGACAGACAGACCTAGTTTGACAGACATGGATGGATGGATAAGCTAGGGAGAAATACAGTAGAGCTAGAGAGAGACAAGAGATGGGCAGTTCGATAGATGCTACCGGTAGATAGAAATTAGCCCCCTTACGTCTGGTTCCCCTGGCTAGCTGCCTCTTCCGCCTTCCGCATTGTAGGATCTGTGCGAGAGGCACGAGAATGGTGTGTTGCACAAACACCAGAGGGCTCTGCACAAGTACAGCATGATGAAGAAGCAGATGATGAGCGCCACGGTGCAGAACAAGGAGCCAGACTCGGTGGAGCAGCTGGAATCCCGGATTGTGGAGGTAGGGTCCTTGGGGTCTTCTGAACCTGTGCTGGCCAACAAGAGGGAAGTCACAGAGAAACATTTCTGCATCCTGAAAATGGTGGGGTCTCGGTTTTTTATTTTTTTATTTTGGATAAAAGAACAGAAAATCAGGATGTGTTCAGTTCTCTTGGCAACGATAAGTTGGTGAAGCTGAAACAACTGTGGAGAGTTTTCTGAGGCATCTGGGATTGGGGAAGAAGATGGGGCTGGGGGTGAGGTGTTGGGTGGAGAGGATACCTTGTGGTGTCTAATCTTTCCCTTCCTCTTTCCTTCTTCTTTCCTTCATCTCCTTCTCTTCCTTCTTCTTATCTTCTGTCTCATTTTTCCTCTTCTCTTCCTTCTCCTTTTCCTCCTCCTCTCTTCTCCTCCTCCTCCTCCCCTTTCTTCTTCTCTTCCTTCTCCTTCTTTTCCTCCTCCCCTTTCTCCCTCTCCTCCTCCTCCCCCTTTTCTCCTTCTCTTCTGTCTTTTCCTCTTTCTTCCTTCTCTTCCTCCTCTTCCTTTTCCTCCTCCTCCCTTCCCTTTTTCTCCTTGTCTTCCTCCTCCCCACCCACCCACCCTCAGCAAGAGAACGCAATCCTCACCATGGAGCAGCGCAACTACTTCTCCCTCTACTGCCTTCACCAAGAGACTCAGCTCATCCACATTTACCTCCCACTCACCTCTCACATCTTGGGGGCCTTCGTCAACTCGCAGATCCAAGGCCACAAAGAGGTAAGTGCCTACCAGGCTGGGGTGGGTAGGTGGATGGGTGGAAGGCATCCACCCGTTGGGCAATTGGCCGGTCCTTGCTTTCCTCTCGCTTGTTTTCCTCAAGCACCCAAGGGCCACGGAGGGCCTCTCCGTAAATGCTGGAGAACAGCTTCTGCTGGTGTTTCCTTGCCCTTCTGCCCACCGGCTCTGCCTCTCTCCTTTCCTTCTGCAGATGAGCACAGTCTGGAACGAACTGAAACCCAAGCTGAGCTGCCTCTTTGCAGGAACCAGCAGCGTGCTGATGCTCCCCTTGTCTGCTCAAGAGGAGAACTTTCTTCCCAGTTAATGTTTTGGGATTCAGGATGGGAGTGGCTGGAAGGAAGGGCTGCCCTTGACACTTAACCGCACCTGTCCAGCTGTTCTTCTCTCGGCAAATCCTAGGTTTTGCCTCCCCGAACCTGATTTGAGGGGATCCACAATCTCCAGGAGATGTGATTTTTTTCAAAGACCTCTTTTGTGCTTTTTTGTTATCCTCTGCGAAGGCTCAACCACGGCGCTCGGGGCAGATTTGGGGATGGGGCCTGCCCCCTGCCAAAAACGACAGACGGGTTTGGGTGACCCACTCCACTCCAGGAATAAAACCCATAATTTCATTGAGGTTAGGGCCGGGCAGCAAATCTAGACACCATTGATCAAAGGGGCACCCGTTTTCCTTAAACAGCATTCTGAGCGAAGTGACCATCGTGAACTTTTCTCTCATTTCATGTTGAAAAGCCAGATGTTTAAATGAATAGAAGTGTAACTTTAGGCCCAGCTATGCTTCCACAGTAGACAGGGAGCTACGTGACTTCATGCCACGTAAGAAACGGCCAGCTGCCTCACAGAGGACTAGACTTATGAATTCATCTCTCAAAACACACTTCCAGCCTTGCCTCTGTGGAAGCCTCTCAATGTGGCCAAGGTTGAGAATCTCTGCTCTAATGTCCCAAAAGTGCTTTTTCAGGAGGCAACGGAACTTCCTTGTTTTTCTTTGAAGACGTTTCGCTTCTCATCCAAGAAGCTTCTTCGTCTCTGACTGGATGGTGGGGAAGGGAAGGATTTATATTCTGAATGATAAGCTGTCTGCAAGGAATATAAATCTAGTTGCCTCTTAAAAAGCACCTTGGGGACAACCAAGACCTGAATGACTAAGAATCTCCATAGACATTCCGCCATAAAAATTACTTTGCACCCTCCATGGGACATATTCCTTCCCCTGTCCATTAATGTTCCTCGCCATACCTATCAAGGAAAGATTTGCACCAAAGCTCGGCCGAACGTGGTGACTACATAAACACAGTGCCTTATTCCAATATATTTTTTAAAAAACCTCTAGACAATCATCTTATTAACCAAAATGAACCCGGTTTGGTTAAGTCTTGGTAAGTTGGCCAGGGGCTACCAATCCTGAGGTTATATAAAAGGAGATATCGTTGTTTGATTCATGCCTAGTTAAACCAACCAACCAGCTGTAAAAAGCTTGTTCTGCTGGATTAAAAAAAAAAAAAATCCAACTGCCATAAGGAAAGCTGCCTCTTTTCTACAAGGCGAGAGAAGGTCATTTTGAGATTATTTTGAGGAAGCTCTATTTAAAGTGGATCATTTGGGATCATGGAACTTTTTTTTTTTTTAACAAGATGACAAAAGAAGTCATCTGAAGGGACTAAATGCCAAATTCTCAGGAAAGTAAATTGCCTTTTTTGTGTTTTTCCAAGTCATGTTTTGGTTTCAGGGTAGGTGGGCTTCCCCCAGCATCCTGGCATTTGACATTTGTAAAAGAGTGTCCGCTTTGCAAAAAGTATTGTTTTTAACCAAAGCACTTTATTATAAATGGCAGAATGTCTTTTATTTCTACTTGGTAGACTTTAATAAATGTTTCCAGAGTCTAACATCCCCAGGCCCTCCTACCCCAAAAGTTACAAAAAAGATCTATTTGTAAGAGAAATACAAAACTCTATTAAAAGGTTGAACATTTATTTTAGCGCTGAACGTATTTATTGCAACGTGTATGATCAAAGCTTTTTTCTTCATGATATTGAGGATATCCCGGCATTTCTTCTTCTGGTTTGACCATATTTTCCCATAATCTAGCATTCTTTGATCACGGAACACATTCGGTGCACAAACAAGTAGTTTTGAGGAGGTATTTTTTTCCTAGAAAAGTCATCCATGATTGAGTTCGGCAGAAGAATCGTTTTGCTACAGGGCCGGTGGTGGTTCCTTGCCCACCGAGATCTCCTTTATGTCTCCATCAGGAAATCTTTCTTGTGTTTCCTCCTGCATCTTCTCCACCTCCTTCAGGGTATATTCTAAGATAGTCTTCTGTCCCTGAAATTTAAAATAACCCAGGAAATATTTCTTGCAGAGCAGAAGAGGGAACCAATATATATCGTCTGGCCACATCTCCTTGAAAGGTATCTGGTCCACGTCAAACCACTGAGGACGCATTTCTGCAATGGGAGAGAAACATGGTATAGGCAGTCCTAGACTTCTAAGCACAATTGGGCCTAAAATCTCAAGATGGTTGCTAAATGAATCGTGCCTGATTTTATGACCTTTTTTTGCCGTGGCTGCTAAGTCGTTGAATCATGAGATTGTTAGGTGAATCCGGCTTCCCTGATTTTGTACGAAGCCGGCTGGAAGATCACAAATGGTGATCATGTGACACACACACACACACACACACACACACCCTGGAGGTTGTGACCCTTGTAAAGTTGCCAAAATGGCAATAATGATGTGATGCAAAGAAGAGCAACGAAGATGATTAAAGGCCTGGAGACAAAAACCTATGAAGAACAGTTGCAGGAACTAGCTATGGCCAGTCTAGAGAAAAGAAGGATTTAGGGGTGACATGATAGCAGTCTTCCAGTATTTGAGGGGCTGTCACAAAAAAGGGGGGGTCAACCTATTCTCCAAAGCCCCCGAAGGCAGGACAAGAAGCCATGGATGGAAACCAAGGAGAGAAGCAACCTGGAATTAAGGAGAAACAGGAATCCTAACTGTGAAAATGTAACCAGTGGAACGACTTGCCTCCAGAGGTTGTGGGTGCTTCATCACTGGAGGTTCTTAAGAAGAGACTGGACAGCCATTTGTCTGAATGATATAAGGCAGTGGTTCTCAACGTTTTTATACGGCGACCCTGGTCATAAGGGCGTGGCACGCATGCGCGGTGGCAGCCCCATGCACAGTGCGCATACGCCGTGGTGGCCCCATGTGTGGCGCACATGCGTGGTGCTGCCCCATGCGCGGCGCGGTGCACATGCACGGTACCGCCAGCTGATAAAAAAATGGCAGATCGCGTTGTTTGGCGACCCCTGTGAAATGGTCGTTCGACCCCAAATGGGGTCACGACCCACAGGTTGAGAACCGCTGATATAAGGTCTCCTGCTTGAGCAGGGGGTTGGACTAGAAGACCTCCAAGGCCCCTCCCAGCTCTATTCTGATCGATGGAACCCTGCCAGTGTGATACACACTGACTAAAAACAAAACCCACAGTGGCAGTTGGATCCCATTATTATGCATGGAGGCCATCTTGACTTTTCTGACCTTGCACACTTCCCTCATTCTGCTCACCCCCACCCACTTTCCTACCGTCACTTTCAGTGGGGTCTCCATGGAAATTGTCAGCGCGAAAGATATGGACCTCCATCAGTTCCGAGTTGCCTACAAATTCAAAGGTAATTTGGCCCATTTTCTGTAAGGTGTCCACAGTCAAGCCACTCTCTTCATGAAGCTCCCTGAAAGTAAGGAAACGAGAGTTTGCATGTCATTTCACCATTTTTCAATTTTATAGCATCTAGGCGAGTCCCTCTGTTCAGCCGATGATTGAGCTAAGACAAAGTCAGAACAAAAGGAAAGAAAAACGCCCTCAGTCCAGTATTAATCATCCCAACTCCATTTGGCCCACAAACTAGAAGCGGAGCAGGTCACCAGGGCCCTGTTGTGCAATTCCAAAATTACAATCACGAGCCTTTTCCAAAGAATTGGAGAAGACTGGCCGTAGATCAGCGGTTCCCAACCTTTCCAGTTTGGTGCCTCCCCCCATCCTGATGGGGAGGGCGTGTGAGTGGCAGGCATTTGCACTGGCGCATGAAACTCTGCTCACATGAATGGAAGGCGTGCACGCTTGCCCATTTCTCCCATGGCCCGGGGGTTGGGGGCTCTTGCCATAGATAAAGTGGGTTGTCCTCCACCTTTTCGCTGCCTGCTCCACCGTCTCCCCCAGCTGCACCTTTCCGCCAAAGCCGTTCCAGAGACCAGCCCCGAAGCCACGCTTTTTCATGCCCAGCAGGATGCGTTGCGGCTGCATCACCAGCACCAACGTGTACAGCTTAGTCGTCAGCATGCTGCACCCTAGATCAAGAAGGAAGGGGAAAACATCCATGGTCAAGTCCACAGAAATTCTGCAGGAAGCTGGGGCAGATTGCAAGAGAGGGGAGGAGAAAGGGGAAGGCTGAGGTTGCTGATACTGTGCTTTGCAAGAGGGTCAGGTACACGCCCAAAGCACTGGAAAAAGATAAACATCGAGGAAGGAAGGAAGGAAAGGAAAGGAAAGGAAAGGAAAGAAGAAAGGAAATGGCTGTTATCTTTGGGACCAGGGTTTCTCAATCTCCGCAACTTAAAAATGTGGACTTCAATTCCCAGCATTCCCCAGCCAGCATGCTTTAACAAGACTCCATGGAAGGTTTTCCCTCCCAACGTCTCGCTTTTAAGTTCCAGCCACGAATCGCCCCTAATGAGGAAAAAGAGGCAGAGCGCAATTGCTATGCAAAAAACCCTGCTCCGAAGCTACCAAAGCCCTGGATTCACTCTCTCCCTCCCTTTCTTCCTCTTCCTCCTCGCTTCCTCCTGCTAAGAAAATAGGGGGAACAGGAGGAGGGAGACCCCGGGCCTTATAGGGAGGCGACCCTCCCCAATGCGCTTCTTGCAAACCTGAAAGGAACGAAGGGCGTCTCAGATGCAAAAATACAACAAACAAACAAACAAAAAACCGTGCAGGGTCACAGAACGTGGGAGACGGAGCGGCGTTTCCGGGGGGAGGATTATAGACGTCGGACTCGGTGCCACCCGAAAAGTGTCCCCCAGATCCCGGAAGTGGCCGGAGAAACCATGAGCCGGTGAGTGGGGCCGAATGCAACTAGACCTCCGGGAGGAACGAAGGCTCTTTCTCCCCCCCCCCATTCCTGCTTCCTTTGCTCGGGCTGCGGAGGGGGCTCTCCCGAATTAGGCTTGCCACGATTCCCACGCTCCTTTCCCTTGGGTGGGCTGAGATGCCTTTTCATGATGGTTGTTCCAGCTCTTCCTCTCGCCTGCCAGAGCGTTACTCTAGGGATTCTGGGAGTTGAAAGCCATACATGTTAAAGTATGCTGGCTGGGGAATTCTGGGAGTTGAAGTCCACCCATTTTAAAGTTGCTGAGATTGAGAAATCCTGGTCCAGAAGATAACAGCCATTTATTTCCTTCCTTCCTTCCTTCCTTCCTTCCTTCCTTCCTTCCTTCCTTCCTTCCTTCCTTCCTTTCTTCCTTCCTCTCATTTCATTTCCTTCCTTCCTCCCTTCTTTCCTTCTATCCATCCATCCTAACTTACTATGTTTATACCATAGCTGTTGCTAATTTTCAGCAATCCCACCGGTTTTTCTCCCTTGCAGACGTTGGATGCTGCCCACCATTTTACTTCAGGTCCAGAGAATCCACACAGCAGGGCAGCACCTAAAATCCAAAACAGGGGCAGAGTATCGCTGGCTGGAGAGGCATTTCCGAGATCCATTTGTGAAGCGAGCCAAAGAGAGGAACTATCGTTGCCGAAGTGCTTTCAAATTGCTGGAGATTGATGACAAACATCACCTCTTTCGGCCTGGGCTGCATGTCCTCGATTGTGGGACGGCCCCTGGAGCCTGGGCGCAGGTAGCGGTTGAAAGAGTCAATGCCACAGGATCTGGTGAGTGGATGCCGAAGGCTACCGAGTCTGGTTTGCAACCTGTTCTCAACCAGCCATACTGTGATTTGGTTAGTTTGGGTTGCCTCAGACTTCAAAATGCGGTTGTTTTAGACCTGCCTGTTTATATTAAACTCCTTCTATCCAATAAATATTGCCAAGCTGTGTTTTTTCAGGTATTGACAATATGTGGCTAGAGAAATTCTTCCCTCCGTTTGAATATGCGGGTTTTTTTTAAATCTCTACCCATGGCTTCATTTTAATATCATGGGTTTTCCCTCTGGGAAATGATAGTGAGAGCAGTCTTGAAAAGCCTCAGTTTAATTAATTAATGTCAGGCAAAAGTGCTCTGACAGCAGAAAACATAACTGTTGGCTGGCTGTGGAGTGGCTTGACGACAGTACAAGACAGTGATTGATAAAGGAGATTTCTGAATTATTGATCCTTACAGAAAGCCTTGCTCATAAAAAAACCCCTGCTTGTTAGGAACCTGCTAAAAATAAAATGATAGAATTGATTAAGAGGCCGGTCGTGGGTGACTTTCAGTAATTTCTTTTTTAATGCCACCGATAGGGAATGCAAAGTGGTTTTCCTATTTTCCTTGCCAGCCTGCAAATAGATAGAAGTTCTGTTACTGACAGAATTCACAGATTTTGCTAAGTCATAAGGTGGTTTATTTAGTTCGAGTAGGCCTCTGCTTTTGATAAACTATGGTTAATTGGCTTAGTGCAAGTGTGAACCATCCAATTATGGCTTGTACAATGCACATAGCTAAGTCCCAAAGGTGCTTTTCAAAAGGCAGTTGAACTTTTTGGAGTTTTTGGGTTGAAAATGTTTTGCTTCTCATTCAAGAAGCTTCTTCTATTTGGTTTCTTGGATGAGAAGCGAAATGTATTTAAGGAAAAAACCAAGAAAGTCCAGTTCCATTTGGAAAAGCACCTTTGGATATCCATGACCTGAATGATTGAGAATCTCCAGAGACACATAACTAACCAAATCTTAGCTTAATGTAGTGTGTAAATCTAGCCAGGAAGGTCACTGGATAATTTTATGGGATAAGTAAGGGAGTAACAGAGGTCTGTATTATTATCCTTGGGAAGAATACACCAGTTCTGCCCTACTCACACTTTACGGCTTGAACAATCAGTAAGTAGATCATTTACTTGCCTGGTATTTCATAGTTTCTAAAAACTGGGAAACAGCTTTCTGTTAAAAATTCACTTATGCAGAGCCTTTTAAAAAAAAGATTTATTACTTAGCATTACTTCTGGGTAATAGCGTAGGCTAAAGTTCCCTCAATCCACCGTTACAATGACCTATGGATTAGAAACATATCGGTCTTGTCCACTTGATGATCCAGAGCGTAGGTGTCTTTAAAAGCAATTGGACTCACTTGCGCCATAAATTTGCCTATCGGGCTATTCTGTGATTTCTAGATTCCCAGGCAGTATGTCATTAAACAACAGCTCCGGGAGGAGAACTATTTTATCTTTATGTCCTCGGTGCTTAGTCCTCATAAAAATGGCAGAATTTATGTGCCCTTGTATTGGTCATGAAGTCTACCGGCAGTAAAAGGGAAAAAATGGGAAATTGTTTTCTGCCTGAAATTCTGACTAAGCATCCTGAGGATCTTTTTGTGAATGTTGATATTGTAATGAAATGTGAAATTAACCCTGGGGGACAAAGGGAAGAAATGCTGAGTAGGAAACAATTAGATAAGAGAGGCAGGGCCCCCCAATTGCTTAACAGTCAGAGGAAGAAACTCAGAAAGGATCCATCCTACTTGATCAGGGAATTAAAAGAGGAGCTGGGAAGTATGTACCTTCAGATCAAAAAGATTCTGTTAACATAGCCTTAAAATAAAATAAAATTAGCTTGTCTGGTTGTGTTTCTGTCTAGTTCACTTGGGTGGACGAACTGATATTTGGCACCAAGGTTTCAAAATGAGCCAAGTTTTGTTAATGTTTTTTCTCTTAACAGTTTTTCTTAGTGTATTAACGAGGCTTGAAGATAGAATGACACACAGATTTCAATTGTTTCCAGAAATGTGTTGTCTTCGCCCGCAGAGGAAAAATTCGGATACTGTTTGCCTCAAACGCCAAACATGATCTGCAAACTGACTTATGCAGGTCCAGCTCATTTAATTAGTTGAAACCCAGTAGTAAACCAGAAAATAGGCAAAGATTCTGAGGCTTCTTTAAAGACCAATAAACGTATTTTAATCTGTTTTTTTTTTTTCACATGGATTGCTTTGTGTCCTCTAGATCCAGATCAGCCTGTTGGCTTTGTCCTTGGAGTTGATCTTCTTCACCTTTTCCCCCTGGAAGGAGCAATTTTTCTCCCTCACACCGATATCACGGATGTGGGCACCCAGAAGGAGATCCAAACTCTTCTCCCAAAAGGAAAAGCGGATATTATCCTAAGCGACATGGCGCCGAATGCAACCGGCATCCGGGAATTCGATCATCAAAAATTGATCCATCTCTGCCTGTCCCTTTTGGATCTGGCCCAAGGCATTTTGCAGCCAGGAGGGGTCCTGCTGTGCAAATTCTGGGATGGCAAGGAGAGCCATCTCCTCCGAAGCCGGCTGTTGCAAGACTTCTGTGAAGTGAAGACCCTAAAGCCTCAAGCGAGTAGGAAAGAATCGGCGGAGACCTTTTTCTTAGCAAAAACATACCGAGGGGTGTCAAATATACAGCAGAAGAAACTTCAGTAGCTTCGTGCATTCTGTGTGGCATCGCTTAGGATTGATATACCAGACATGGTTGCAGTAGCAATAGTTGCATTTTTTGTTGGGGGAGGGTGCTGCAAATGGAAATTTTGCAGGCTGCTGGAGAGGTGGGGTCCTTGGTGCTCTCTGAGCTTGGTGGTTTTCTTGCAGACGTTTCAAGACCCAGCTAGGTAACATCATCAGTGCAAACCTCAATCCCTTCTGGCATTGATGATGTTTCCTATTAGGTTATGAAACGTCTACAAGAAAACCACAAGTTTAGAGAGAATCAAGGGCCCCTGAGCTATAAGTGCTTGAGAAGTTTGTATATAGTATTAATTATAAGTTGTATAAATAAATAAATAACCAATAGAACAAAACACAATCTGTCTCTTGTGTCCATTCGGAAAGAAACTTGCAGGACTTCATTCCCAGATAAAGACACCTGCAGACTCTCTGACAAAAACTTGCATGGAAAAGATAATTCATTTATTGAAACGTAACCTCTCGTCTTAAAACAACTCAGGGCAACTGCTTGAGCAGGGGGCTGGACTAGAAGACCTCCAAGGTCCCTTCCAGATTCCATTCCATTCTATTCACAATCCATAAACCAACATAGCATCAATATAAAGCAGTATAAAACCACACAGAAACATTATGTAAGCAATGTAAAACAGCGGAGCAATAACGTAAAAAAATACAAATAGTGTAAAAATAATATAGAATACAATACACAATAAATAATATACAATACACGTATAAAAACAGTATAAAACAATACAAACAGTATAAAAACAAAAAAAGTATAACAATGTAAAAATAGTATAAATCAGTATAAAAACAATATAAAAAGAAGGATCTGCTTCAAGGAAGGCTTCATCACTGGAGGCTTTCAAGAAGAGACTGGGCTGCCGTCTGTCAGAAATGTGTCGGGACTCTTACTTGGGCGGGGGGTTGGACTAGATGACCTACAGGGTCCCTTCCAGTTCTGTTATTCTATTCTTGCCCAACAAAAGATATGATAAACCGTATAAAAGCCGTCAGCCATAAACACAAAAACCGAAAAACTCGGCGATGTAGGTTTTAGTATCATCTTTCCTGGAAATGGACTTTTTATTTATTGATTGAGAAATACAGTACCGACAGGCGCCAGAAGAGCGCGCCGCGCCTCCTCTGATTTCTCGTCGCGCCTCTATTCTGAGCGCTACGGCCCACAGCGAAAGCGGTTGGGGAGCGAAGGCGGGCGCGGCGGAATCTCGCGGGAGCTGGGTGAGGAACTCTCGCGGCGTCTCGGAGGGAGGGAGGGAGGGAGGGAGACCAGAGCTGGCCATGGCCGAGTGGGGAGGGTGAGTGCGAGCGAGCGAGCGAGCGAGTCCAAGGGTGTCACGTGGGTCCCGCGCGGGCGGGGCGGCAGAAGGCGGGAGGGCGGCGACCGGGGCGGAGGGGTCTGTTCTCGCCGCCGCTGGCGGGATCCGGATGGCAGGGAGGGCGAGTGGGTGAGGGTCGTCCCTCTGGAGCCGGAGAACGAGGGCCGAGACTCACGCCACCCCTCGCGCCGTCTTTCTGGGTTGGTGTGCCGAGAGTGCTCCTGGGCATGGGCAGAGTGCCCTCCCTCCCACCATGTAACCTCCCGGCTGCTTGGAGTCCCCATCTCCCTTCAAAGTTTGCTTGCAAACCCCCCTTCCCCTTGGACACACACACACACACACACACACACACACACACACACACACACACACACACACACACACACACAGACCAGAAGATAAACTGGGATGGGCGTGATGAAGGGAAACGAAGAGATCATAATTGCATTTTGATTTTTGCTAGCCGAGGTTGGCGTGGGTGAAATGGGGGAGCATAGGAAACGGAACGCAAAAATAAAAGAGTACTACAAAACCCCTAAGCTTTAGGAGGGCCAGTGTGCAGGCAGGAGACGATGGGGTTGAAGCCAAGATCTGGGGGGGGGGATGTCCCAGGATGGGACCCTCACTCGGCCCTGTTCTGGAGCACTTTCCTCTTCACTGCTGTTGCCTGGCAGGTTGTGTTATGATTTTGCTTCTGTTTTGCTCTGTTTGCAACACTCGGATCTTTTTGTTTCCACTTGGGTTCTGTGATTGTTCTTCCAAAGCTGGTTGAAAGAAAGTGGAAACGAAAAAAGCGAAGTGTTGCAAAAAGAGGCAAACAAGCAAAGTCATAAACATAACTTGCACAGGAGAGACAAAAGTGTAGACAGAGACAATAATAAAGGAATAGAACCAGCTTCTGATTTCTTTTCCAGCAAATGCAAGGATGATTACAAAATTGTTATTTACTCTAGTCTATGGTTACAAAAAAACCCTTTTCTTTTTCTCTATTGTTAACAAAACCACAAATCAAAAGTTCATTTTTTCTTTCTTTCAAAAAACCCCATAAGAGATTTCCAGACAGCGATAAAGGTGGAGTCCTGGGTGCTCTCTGAGCTTCGTGGTTTTGTTGCAGAAGTTTCAGGACCCAACTAGGTAACATCATCAATACTGTAGGACTCCACAGTTCAGCTCTGAGCTACAAATATTCTCTCGGCAGCAATAAATCCATTTCTTGTCTTTTCTCTAATCAAAGAAGCCAGATATTTTTTTTTTACTTATTTGCAGGGCTAAAGTTTTTAAAAAAATATTTTTAATGATATACCTGGCAGGACTCGGATGCAAATGGAGGAGGCTGAGGGGAACACCACTGTGTTCTCCATCCTGAAGTCCTACAACAACTTCATGTCCCTCTCTATGGAGGAATCTTCTGTCCAAGAGGCACCACAGTCTCCGGGCTCACTCCAGACACATTACCAGCAAATGATGAAGGTGAGGCAGTGTTCCTCAGTGGTCACATTCAGCAACCATCTAATCAAAGCCAGCGAAAATTTAGCCAACTAAATTATGACATATATTATAAGTACAGTGTCCACTGGTTCGCCACCCTTGGATCTGTGCTCAGATAACAGTTGTAGACTTCTCTCTTTCCCTGTTCTTCCCATTGACTCTCAACACTGCATTGTGGTTTTTAATATGCTAGTTTTACAATTTTACTATGGTTTTTATGCTATTTTAACTTTGGATTGGGAGCTGCCCAGAGTTGGTTATAAGATGGGCGGCTATATAATTAAGTAAATAAATTAATTTAGTAAGTAGTTGTGATTTGGTCCATATCCAGAGGGACATGAGTGTTTTAGTTTGGAGGTGAACCAACAAAAACAGCTGAACTAGTTGACATATCCCCTACCGAAGCTTATTTTGCTTTTCGCTAAATAAATGAAACCAACTGGAGCAGGGGCCCTAGTAGGTACCTGTATTCCTGGGTAGAATATTGTCCACTCCTGCAGGGGGTGGTGGTGGTGAAAGTTGCTTGTAAAATGCTATAGGTTAACTACAGGCCCTCCCACCCCACACACCCCCTCCAGAGATGGAGGCATGGTGAGCCTTGTTCAACAGCTTCATGGAATTACTGTTTGGTCTCTTTTCCCCTTCGGCAATGGATCAGCTGGAAGAGCAGGCCGGGCAAATCCATTCGGGCACGCGGCTTGTGCAGATGGAACGGGAGAAAATGCAGATGGAATTAAGTCACAAAAGGGCTCGGATTGAACTCGAGAAGGAAGCCAACTTGAACGCCACCAAATTTGAGGTGAGCTGGGGAGTCACATTAAGGGTTGCGCTTCTGCCCTGGTGCATTTGTAACCTGGCTTGTTTGAGTAGCTTGTTCTATCACCTTGGTCTCTGTGGTTTATAATCCATGGCTTACGACTTAAGCCAGTATATAACCATGGATGGTTTATTCAGAGCAGTCTGGTTCGCATCACCCAGGAGGTCTGTAAAGAGGATAGAGTACAGATAGTCCTTGACTTGCAACCATTCATTTTAGTGACCGTCCAGAGTTACAACGGCATTGAAAAAAATGACTTGGGATGATTTTTCACGCTTAACGACCATTGCAGCCTCCTCAGGGTCACCTGATCAAAATTCAAACACTTGGCAACTGTCATGCACTTGTGACGGTTGCAGTGTCCCGAAGTCACACAATCCCCTTTTTGCGACCTTCCGATAAGCCACACTCACTTAACAACTGTGTGACTCGCTTAACTGCAGCGATTTGTTTAACAACTGGCAAGGTCGTAAAACGGGGCAAAGTTCACTTAACAACTGTCTTACTTAGCAGCGGAAATTTTGGGCTTAATTGTGATCGTAAATTGAAGACTAACTGTCATCTTAAGATGGCATTTCCTAGCCTTCTCAGCCTCACATAGATGCTGAAGGTAGAACCGGATCATCCTCAGTATCCCAATTTGCCCTCTTGGGATAAAAAAGCAGAATCAGGGTACGGGCAAGTTATACCCAGCATCGAATTGGCAGCCAGTCGCAATAAGATTACCTCTGCCTGATGTTTCAGTCCAGAAGTAAAACGGCGAGCCTGCATTCTGTCTTGGAAAACGCTTCAAAAACACAGAGGCTTCCCAAGAACCAAAGGAAGTCAGCAGAAAAACCCCTGCCAAATGAAAGTGGTTAAGTGGTTTCCAGGTCTCACTTTAATAATTGTAGTGATTCTGGGGATTATCCTACCGTTATTTCCAACTCCTCCCCAGCTAGTGAGTCAGTCACAGAAACCTTAAAATCCTGCTACGGGACGGGGGGGGGGAACAGACCCCTAAAATGGGAGAGCTCTAATCCAGCCGTGCTGCCTGTGTGGTCCGTTGCCTTGCTTGAGATGGTGGCTGAGGACTTTGCATAATCCTTGTTTCGCATGCAAATCCGTAGCTTGTTGGCACTTTGATTAGCAGAGCTATCCTGGGAATCGATTTGAGTTGGAAGGAAAGAAGAAACATCCCTGGAGTTAAGAAATGGAGATGGGGAGGGGGAATAGCCTGGATTTTTAGGGAAAGGAAATAACCTGGCCTGGGTTTTTGGACTTCACAAAGTTTTGTTTGAGTCGTAGCATCTGTTTCCCATAGTTAAATACATTTTTTCCGTTCATTTAATCCTGCCTTTATTTTTCATTTTTGTAAATGACTCGAGGTGGTGGTGAACACACCTAATACGCCTTCCTGCTCCTATTTTGCAGAGTTTTATTTTAGTCGGAAAACAAAAACTCTCAGGTACAGGGACTTAATGCCGAAATGCAATCTACTTGACTGCAAAAAGCAACGGCTTGAAATGAGATGAGAACATTGGGAAACCGATAACTGAAATGTTTTTTTTTTTTTTTTTTTTTTTGAAAGATGTGGAAGGAAAATTGGCCTAAGTGGTTTAAGATTGTACATTAAAAAGGGAAGCGGAAGAGAAGACTTTCTCTGCCCAAGAACCAGCTTTCCAGGCAAATGTTATCAAAGGAACAGTGGGGGAAAAGCAGTTTAGATGGAAAATGGAAAAGCGGCTGATTGTGGTAAGGGTGAAGCCGTGGACTACCTAATGGATGCAGCTAATTTGCATGACAAAGCAAGCCATGATCAGGTTGGCAGGAGACTACAGCAACCTTTATGTAAAAAGCACAGGTTGACAATGGCAGTCAATGAAAAGCTTGAAATCAAGCTCTGAAAATGACTTGAGTGAAGAATTTTACAGGATTTTAAAATTCAGACAGATCAAAATTCAGACTGATGAAGACCTGGAACATAACACACCATTCTGGGATGCTCTCTGAGCTTGGTAGGGGTTTTTTTGTAGACGTTTCATGATCCAACTAGGTAACATCATCATTGTTAGAAGGGAGTGGGGTTTCATGATCATAGCACTGATAATGTTACCTAGTTGGGTCAGGAAACATCTGCAAGAAAACCACCAAGCTCAGAGAGCACCAAGGACCCCACAGTTGTTGTTGTCCTCCTCCTCCTCCTTTTTCTCCTTCTCCTCCTCCTCCTCCTCCTCCTCCTCCTCCTCCTCCTCCTCCTCCTCCTCCTCCTCCTCTCTGCAAACCCCACTTCTTGGTTAAGTAATTTTATGTAGTTATCTTCCTTTATCGTTGCACATCTTGCTGTTAGGTATATTCCCAAATATTTAACTTTCTTATTCCCAAATATTTAAATTTCTAAATCTCACTTCTTCTAGAACTGATGAGGTTACCTAGTTGGGTCACGAAATGTCTGTAAGAAAACCAGCAATCTCAGAGAGCACCAAGGACCCCCCCAGTCCAACCTTGAGCTACAGATATTCTCTTCCATTGGTACACCAAACGTTACTGTCATTGAAAGGAGCTATCTTTGATTTATGGATGTAGCCTTTCCATGATGCAGAACAGGCAGTCCTTGACTTACAAACTCCAGCTTAGCAGCTGTTTGAAGTTACCCGATAGGCCTTCCTGGAGGGTACGTAGACCCTGCTTCTGAAGCTCCAGCTGACCAGCTTTCAAGTGACTTGAAATCCTTTTGTAGTGCAGAGAGGTAGTATTTTTTCCTCCTAAACCTTCTCTTGTCCTCTTTTTCCAGCGGGAGGCTGATCGTAATCAGGAGCTCCTTAAGCGCATCAAGCAATGTCAGGAAAGGGAAACCGAGGTAAAAAATGCCCTTCAGGAACAACTTGAGATCAACAAGACCTGCCAGAAGAACATGGAGACCCTGAATCAGAAGCTGCAGGAGAAGGAGGCCAAGCTGACCGAGGCAAATGAAGTGAGGGCCGAGTCATTGATTTGACGGAAGAGTATTTGATGTTATTTTGGAGCATACACGGGTGACGCTGTGAATAACTTGTGTTGCAAGAGTTGGGTGACAGTAAACAAAATGACACGTGTGTTGTCACTTTTCCTTAAAACGAATGGCAGCATCTTCTGATACATTAAGGCTGGGACAGCAGAGGTTAAGAAGCTGCATCTTTAAGCAATTCTAGAGGGATAATTCTTGGAAGCAAAACCAAGAATAATTCACAGTTTGAAATGAGGAGACATTTCCTGAAAGTGAGAACTATTAATCAGTGGAACGACTTCCCTTCAGAAGTTGTGGGTGCTCCAACACTGGAGGTTTTTAAGAAGAGACTGGGCAGTCTGAAATGGTCAGAGGGTTGGACTAGAAGACCTCCAAGGTCCCTTCCAACTCTGTCATTCTGTTAATAATTTGAAAGTTTGCATGGAGATAAGATAAAATTAATACTGTACAGGTAGTTTTTGACTTACAACCGTTAGTGCAGCGACGGTTTGAAGTCACAACTGCACTGAAAAAAGTGGCTTATAAGCAATGCTCACACTTATGACCGTCACAGCATCCCCACGGTCACGTGATCAGAATTGGGGCAATCAGAACTTGTTGATTTACAATGGCAGTAGCATCCCTAGGTCACGTGATTGCCGTTTTTGACCTTCCCAAATGGCTTCCCCTAAGCAAAGTCAATGGGGGAAAACATATTCCCTTAACAAATGCAGTTATTTGCTTAACAATTGCAGTGATTCATTTAATAACAGTAGCAAAAGAGGTATTTAAGATCAGGTATGATTCAAATCTTAACAGCCGCCTTACTTAGTGTTGGAGAAGGACCAGCTGTATGAAAGATCTACAGGCCCAGATAGGTAGCCTTATCAGGAAATAATAGTAGACCCATAATGATAACTTCAGCCCTTCCCATTGGACCAGCTCCATCATTCCTTCTCTGGTTCCACGCTTGTTGCAAAGTAGGACCATCCGAGCAGTTTTAAACTTCCATGCTAGCTCTGTTGTGTACGTAACACGTTGTACATATTCCTCAGCAAGATTGAAGTCATTGAATATGCCTAAATCCCTACTGGGTTAAAAAAAATAAAGTATTTTGGCCTGAAATTGGGAGAGAAATTGCTAAGTGAACCGAAGACGTCACTCTGTAAATTGTCTTTACAGAGGCAGAAAAGCTCAGAGGCCATTTCACATCTTTTTCTATCCTGCCTGTAATCTAGTTTCGAAAATGGGCTTATCCGGCTCTTAAGGCTGTCATCGGTGCTTATCCGTGGCGGGGAGAAGATACACAAGCCGCTCTTTTGAAGTTGCGGGTGCGGAGAAAAACATTCATCGGGCGCTGATGGGACCATTTGCATCCCTTTGATGGTCTCCTTTCTAGATGGCGCAGGCTGCTGCCTTTGAGCGTTGCCTCTTGCAAGTTCCTCTAGTAAATAACAACAGTCAGAGGGAAGGGAGAGCAGGTGCCTGCGGATTAACAAAAAAGTCCGGGTCGAGAGTCGTTGGGTCTCACATACGTTTTAAATTTATTTCTTGGGGCAAAGGCATCAATTTGGACAGCACAGGGAACGTGTACATTTAAATAAATAAATGTAGGTAGTCCTTGAGTTACGACAATGGAGGACCAATTTTTTTTGCTCGGTGAGAGTCTTACTTTTCTTGTCGTGGCTGTTAAGTTGTTAAGTTGGTGACACCGTTGCTAAGTGAATCCCCTTGAGTTTGCTTGTCACTAGGTCGTAAGAGGGGATCATGCGACCCCGGGACACTGCGACCGTCGTAAATGTGAGTCAGTTGCCAAGCGTCTGAATTTTGATCCTGCGACCATGGGGATGCCGCAACGGTCGTAAGTGTGAGAAACGGTCGTACGTGTGAGAAACGGTCATACGTCACTCTCTTTCGGTGCCGTTGTAACATCAAACGGTCACTGAACTGTTGAAAGTCAAGGACTGACTGTCAAATCAATTCTTTCTCTCTCAGACCATCAGTGTCTTGAAGGGGAAAATATCGGAGTCACAGTGGAACACGATGAATCAGGAGATGGAGATGAAAAAGCAGGAATCCCAAAATCAGGAGTTGACCGAACAGCTGGATGTGCTCCACAAGTAAGCAGACAAGCAACCGCTGTCCGGGGGAATTCAATTCTAAAGTCTTTAGCAGCAAAATGTAATTGAAGGATTGTAATCAGCAGCAAAGGTAGCCTTGAAAACAGTTCAGCCTTGAAAAATATGTAGGTTTTTTTTTAAAACGTCCAACATTTAAATATCCTATCCCCTTTTTGTCTATAATAGTGGACTGCAATCTGTAAAGGGAACGTGAAAGACCATTAAAAGCTATTGTTTTTATAGCTGTAATTGATGACTGGTATGGCTGAAGCAAGTTTTGAATTCTACTTTGGGAGTTAGGACCTCAGTGCCATCTGCGCATGTTCCTTTCTACATAGCGCTGATGAATTCACAGATACCAAGAAATGTGTAGCTGGGATATCTAGTAGTATTATCCATACATGGATGACACTCCTCTATTTATCAGTAATGGAGAATATTTGTAGCTTAGGGTTGACCTCAGCCTTGGTGCCCTCTGCACTTGGTGGTCTGCTTACAGGTTTTTCATGAGCCAACTAGGGAACATTATGAGTGTTTGAAGAGAGATGGAGGAGAAGGACTGGGGGGTCCTCGATGCTCACTGAGCTGCGTTTTCTTGCAGATCTTTCATGACCCAGCTAAGAAACATCATCAATGCTAGAAGGGAGGGTGGTTGCATTGATGATGTTCCCTAGTTTGGGTCATGAAACATCTGCAAGAGCACCAAGGACCCCTATTTATTTGTTAGATTTGTATGCCGTCCATCTCCCCTACAAGGTAAATCTGGGCAGTATATAAAATCTAATCAGAGAAGCATTGGTCCACACATCTTAAATGTTGTTGAGTTTGGGAAATGGATATTTTATCTCCACCTTCCACAGAAAATGGCAAGAAGCCACTCAGCATATCCAAGTTCTTCAGGCAAGGGAGGAGCTGATGTCTAAGAAGGAGCAGAAGATTCAGGTGAGACCTCCATTCCCTTCCTCTTTGCATTACCTGGAGATCTCTCTCTACCCACCTGGCTCTTAGGAAAGCACCAGCTTTTCCTACTCATTTCAAAGTATAACCCTTGTCCAGTTGTCTCCTGAAGGTTTCCTTGGTCCTGTTTCTCCAGGACCTCGAGCAGAAGCTCTCCATGCAAGAACAAGATGCGATCATCGTGAAGAACATGAAGACGGAGCTGGCTCAGTTTCCCCAGTTGGAACGGGAACTGCAGCAACTCAGGGAGGAGAACGCCTACCTTAGGTAAGGAAAAGAAAACGATAACATTTGGTTTTGTGTGTGAGTGTGTGTGTGTGTGTGTGTCAGGATCTTTGTGCTGTTTTTTTCTTCATCTTCTGCCTGTTTTTGTCGCCTGTTTTCTCTCTCTCTGTCTCTCTCTCTCTGTCTCTTTCTCTCTCTCTCTCTCCCTCCCTCTCCCTTCCTCCCTCCCTCCCTCCCTCCCTCCCTCCCTCCCTCCCTCCCTCCCTCCCTCTCTGTGTTGAAATGTAGTTGCAAGAGGGAGGAGCTTTTCCGAAAGAGCAAAGACACAGCAGAGTGTGGAGTCCCTAGCCTTTCACAGGGCATAACTAATAGTTATGCAGTTTTATGCTTTAGTCTGGCAAGATTTCTGTCTATAGACGAGCAGCAATAAAGAAACTACTCTGGATTAAGTCCTTCTGTCCTTCTACGTTCCTTGTACCTGACATTGTGGGGCTTTTTCACAAAGGGGGGGGGTTAAAAGAGGGGTGATCCAACCTTGGCTGCTTGAAGACCCGTGAACTTCAATTCCCAGAATTCCCCAGCCAGCCAGCATTCAATTCTGGGCATTGAAGTCTACAGAAGTCTGAAATGAAGTCTGTAGACTTCAATTCCCAGAATTGAATGATGGCTGGCTGGGGAATTCTGGGAACTGAAGTCCATAGGTCTTAAATTGAAGTCCATAGGACACCCCTCTTTTAGAGTTAGGGCTATTTCCAAGGCCATTTCGAAAAGAATATTCTGATGGGATTGGGGTGAACTGCCAGGCTGACGACTTACTCCGAACGTGTCCCGTTGTTCCCTTTTTGTCTCTGTCTGCCTTCGTCTCATGTTTCGGATATTAGCCAAGCCACATCAAACAGGCTCCTCCTCTAAACAAGGGAGTATTTTGGGGTGTCTCCACAGGGAAATGAGAGAAAACAACGGATTGCTGAAGGAGGAAGTGGAGGGTCTCCGAAAGAAGCTCCAGCGATTTGAAAAAGTCCAGGCAGAGCGGGTGGCTTTGGAGCTGGAGAAGGAGGTACAAGTCCGCCCACTCTAGGCGCCTCGTTGCTCCTCCTGCTCTTAGGAGGGAATGAGATTCCTTGATTTTCCAAGCTGAATACAGGCAGTCCTCCATTTACAACCAACCTTTCCGAGTTACAACGGCACCGAAAAAAGTGACCTATGACCGTTTATTCACAGTTAATCACTATTGCATCATCCCCGGGATCACATGATCAAAATTCGGATCATTGGCACACTGACTCATATTTATGACGGTTGCAGTGTTTCCCCAGGATCATGTGATCCCCTTTTGCGACCTTCTTGACAAGCAAAGTCAGTGGGGGGGGGAAGCAGGATTCACTTAGCAACGGTGTCACTAATTTAAGGATTGCAGTGATTGGCTTAACAACTCTGGCAAGAAAGGGTAAAATGGGGCCAAATTCATTTAACCAAAGTTTCACTTAGCAACAGAAGTTTTGAGTTCAGTCGTGGTCATAAGTCAAGGACTACCCGTACATACAGTTAGTCCTCATCTTACAATAATTCATTTAGTGACCTTTCAAAGTTACAACAGCATTGAAAAAAAACAAAGACTATGTTTCACACTTACAACCGGTACATCATCCCCATGATGGTGTGATTGGAATTCAGCAGCCTTGGCAACCGGCTCGTATTTATGATGGTCGCAGCGTCCTGGGTTTGTGTGTGTCTGTGTGTCACATGATCCCCTTTTGCAACTCTCTGACAAGTCAAATGGAAGCCAGAATTCACTTAACATCCAGGGATTCAGTTAACGGCTGAGGCAAGGAAGGTCATAAACTGGGGCCAAACCCATTTAACAAATGCCTCACTGGACAAAAAAATTTTTTGGGACTCAACTGCTGTCGTAAATTCGTGGACTTACCCGGATATTCTGTACATCTGAGATAGAATTAAACACACACACACACACACCCTTCCTTAAGAGCTTTAGATTTACACCCAGATCGCTTCTGTTCTCAACGGAAGGAAACACACGATACGGAATCCATAATATGGATTTCAATGTCTCCGCGTGAAAATAGTTTCTTTAGAGCATGGACATTAATTTGAGCAATTGCAGCTATTTGGCGGTTCTGATTACAATGCAGTCGAGTCTCTGGCAAAGCCCCTGCGGTCAGAATTTAAAATATGGGTGACCTCTGAGCCGATTTCCTCAATCCGTTTGAAAGGGAGCTCCAAGGTACAGAAGACTTTACCTAGTCCTTGACTTACGGCTACAGTAGGGCCCAGAACTTTTGTCATCCATCGTGACGGTTGTAAGCCGAGGCACTCAAGTGACTGACTAGATTTTATGAACTTTTTTTTTTTTTGCGGGGTTTGTTAAACCAACAGTGTGGTCCTAAAGCGAATGTATTGGTTATTAAGCAAGTCAATACATTCCTAGGGGCGATTTTTTTTGTTGTTGTTGTTCAAAACCGGCCCCAAAGTTTAGTTTCCTCAGGAAAACAAATGTCATAAATTGAGTCAAGTGACTGCAGAAGGCTGTGACTGACCGGCTGTCAGGTGCCCTAATTGCGAACACGTGACCCTGTGTGTGTGTGTGTGTGTGTGTGTGTGTGTAGTTGCAGATGTAGTTGCATTATTGATTTTTTTAAAAAAAACAAACAAACCCAACTTTTTCTCCTTTTGCTCCTTCAGAAACTTCAGGAGAAACTGAGCATGTGGGAAAAGGCGGATCAGAACATGGGCTTAGATATCAAGTAAGTGGAAAAATGGGAGTGAAATTCTGACACCTCCACGTTTCCTTTGTTTGTTGCTGGGTGTCTCCAGGTGGTCCTCAAACCTACGACCACAGTCGAGCCCAAAGTTTACGTTGCTAAACGAGACATTTGCTCGGTGACATTTTCCCCATTTTTACGACTTTTCTCGCCGCATTTGTTAAGGCAGTCACAGCAGTTGTTAAATTAGTCATACCGTCGTTAACTGAACCTGGCTTGTCCCCCATTGACTTTGCTTGTCAGGAGATTGCAAAAGGGGATTGCGTGACACACACACCCGGGACGCTGCGACCGTCATAAACAGTCAGTCGCTTAACGACTGTGGCAAAAAGAAATTGGGCACGATTTTCTTAACTACCGCTTTACTTAATCCAGAAATGCCAGTCCCGATTGGGTGGTAAATATTCTCCGTGTTCAGATTATTCTCGTGCAAATGCCTGTTTTACTGTAGTACGTGCCCACAGTGGCTTTTTATTTATTTATTTATATTACTTATTTTTAGTTTCTTTTTATTATTGTGGGAAGTGTGTCATTCTCCAGTAGGTGGCAGACTTCCTTTGGCTGTACCGGAAAGCCGATTTCCCACAGCGTTGATTTCATGGACCGGCATACATCAAGGAGCTAGTCCTTTGACTTAGGACCACAGCTGAGCTCAACATTTATTTTGCTAAGCGACACAATTGTTAAGGGAGTTTTGTCCCTTTTTCTTTTTTTTTTAAGTGAATGACTGCAGTGGTTAGCTTAATAACTTAACTTCCATTCCACCCTCTTCCTTTTTGTGTCAAGCTGCCAGCGAAGCAAAATGTAGGTGAAAATGCAAATCAGTCTTGACATCCCCGGGCTTGAAAGAAAAGAACAGCCTGTCCCCAAGGTGTTTTTTCAAGAGGCAACTGGACTTTCTTGTTTTTCCTTTGAAGACGTTTTGCTTCTCCAAGAAGCTTCTTTAGCTCTGAGTGGATGGTGGGGAATGGAAGGATTTATACTGCTGCTTGCAGATAGCTGGTCATTTGCATCCTTTTAGAGCAGTGGTTCTCAACCTGTGGGTCGGGACCCCATTTGGGGTCGAATGACCATTTCACGGGGGTCGCCAAACAACACAGTCCGCCATTTTTTCCCCCTTTTCCTTAGCTGTGCTACTCCCTTTTATTCTATTGGCTTTTGAAAGCCAATAGAATAGACTCTCTTGAATAGAGTCTAATTCTATTGGCTTTCAAAAGCCAGTAGGAATTGTCCAGGCTGTCTCTGCCCTGCTGAGCCCGCCAAAAGTCCCATTCTGCAAATGGTGCTGCACCAGTTGAGTAGTCTTCGACTTACGACTGGTTGGGGGTCGCGGCATTAAAAAGGTTGAGAACCACTGTTTTAGAGAGTCATTGAGGCCACTTGGACCTTGAGACAAACCTCCAAGTGGCCTCAACGACTCTAAAAGGAGGCAAATGACTGGCTGTCTGCCTTTGGGGCAGCCATGACCTGGATGGTGGAGAAGCTGCACAGACAGAGAGGAATATTGCATTTTTGGCTGATGGGAGGCCCCTGTAAGAACCCAGTTTACATCAATCCTAGGCATTTTATTTCACTCCCAGCTAGGCGGAGGGTGTTGCTTTTAGCATCCGCCCCTACATTGGAATGGAAGTGAGAAAGGAACTTGCTAATTGCACTTTTTCCGTTCCTTGCTTCCCCCGTGGGACTTCGCCCTCCAGTTTCTTCTCTCTTAAGCGAAGGGAGCGCAAGATGGTGAAATGGCACGACAATCATTTTTTTGTGCGCATCAAAGAAGTTAAGTGCCGAATTCGGAGGCTGTCTTGAGTTGACGCTCCAGGAATTCTGTTTTTTTTTCTTTCTTTCTTTCTTTCTTTCTTTCTTTCTTTCTTTCTTTCTTTCTTTCTTTCTTTCTTTCTTTCTTTCTTTCTTTCTTTCTTCCGACTCTGGAAGAGGGTGAGAGAACTCAGTTAATGCACTTTTTTTTGGGGGGGGGTGAATTATCCTTAATAAAAGCAAGGCCCTGTTGTTAAAATGAAAGCCGTTCTGTTCTTCTACCTTCTTCCCAACGTGTGCTGGAATTACGATCGCATTTCCATTTCTATGAGTCGGTTTTTACAACGTCAGTCTGAGACGGAAAACGGGCTCACTCTTTCCTCACCCCCCCCCACTTGCTTGAATGTGTAGTCCGCTTGCGAGTTTTTAAGAATGGCAAGCCCCAATTTGTGTCTTTAGCTTTCGTGCTGGCTAAAGCAACCCCCCCCCCAAAAAAGGGGGGGCAAGCAGATTTCCCCTCCCTCTGATAGTTTGTTAAAAGATTTGTTTGGATTTTCGTTTGATTTAAAAAAAATTGAGGAAATTAAGTTCAGGTAGAATGCAGCACTTATTGCTCAGGATGAATTGGGTTTGCTAAACTAGGACAGGGGGTCTTCCATTTGAAGAGCTTTTGAAGTTACAAGACGATGGAAAAAGGGACATGACTGGTCCTCATACTTACGACCGTCACAGCAACCCCCCTCCCACCGTCACGTGATCAAAGTTCAAGCGCTTGGCAATTGGCATGTATTTATGCCAGTTGCAACACCTTTGGGGCCATGTGAACACCCTTGGTGGCTTCCTCATCGGGGTTCCCAGAAGCAAAGTCAATGTGGGAAATTAGATTCCCTTAACAGAATAACAGAATTGGAAGGGACCTTGGAGGTCTTCTAGTCCAGCCCCCTGCTCAAGCAGGAGACCCTAGACCATTTCAGACAGATGGCTTTCCAATCACTTTTTGAGTGATTGGATTGCACTCACAACTTCTGGAGGCCGGTTGTTCCACTGGTAAATTGTTCTGTCAGGAAACGTCTCCTAGGTTGGGTCTCTCCTTGATAAGTTTCCATCAGTGGCTTCTTGTTCTACTTATAATGGACATTTAAAATGACAGTTAATGTATGCAAGCAACAGGTGCATCTAGAAGCTCTTTATTTAGTCTGAAGGCCAGGTACAACCTAAAATGCTTTACTATAACAGTTCAGATCCTTGTGTGCAGGTAGCATGAAATCACCTTGCAGCACTTTTGAACCCTATCCTGGTTCCTGACCTCTTGCACCTTCAATCAAAATAAAGCTGGAAGGGACCTTGGAGATCTTCCAGTCCAGCCACCTGCTCAAGCAGGAGTCCTTATCTCATTCCAGACAAATAATTGTCCAGTCTCTTCTTGAAAACCTCCAGGGATGAAGCACCCACAACATCTGGAGGCAAGTGGTTCCACTGGCTGGTTGTCCTCACTGTTAGGAAGTTTCTGCTTAATCCTAGGTGGCTTCTCTCCTTGATTAGTTTCCATCCATTCGGTGCTTTGAAAAAAAAAAATTGACCCTCCCCTCCTCCTTGTGGCAGCCCCTCAAATACTGGAAGACTGCTATAATGTCCCCCCTAGTCCTTCTTTTCTCTAGGCTGGCCATACCCAGTTCCTGCAATCGTTCTTCATATGTTTTAGTCTCCAGACCTTTAATCATCTTAGTTGCTTTTCTTTGCATCTATTGACATACACTCCTTTCCCTTCTGGGGGCTGAGATGCCTCTTCCATGCCACTTGTCCAGTCGCCTTCCAGCGATGGAAGTCCCCCAGTCCATTACAAGCCTCCCAATCAGCTAGGTTTTTTTCTCTCATTGCCAGACAGTTTATTGCCTTGCCAAGCAGAGCAAATTGACCTTTGATCTGATGCGGGACAGTTTTAATTTGTAAGTCTTCATTTTCCAGAATTAACCTCTAAAATTTAAGCCTCTCAGTGGCTAGCTGAAAACACTGCTTCGAAAATACTAGTTTAGGGAACAGGCTTCTGGGCATTTTTAAATGTAATTTTTATGAAGCTTAGGAATATACTTCAGAGTTTCCACTTCTTTGTGTTGCAACTAGTCTATTATGATTTGCTGATGCTAATTATGAACCAAACACAGATTAAATCTTTTTAAGCCTTCGGTCTACCTGTGAGGAATAATACTAAAAGCCAGCCTGCCTGTCTTTTGATGCTCTTCCATCTTTATTTATTTATTTAGAAGAAATAATTTGGCTTTGCATTCCCTGTACTTTGATAGAGATTGTACAGCATGCATTAATTAATAACTCTTTTTTTAATTCTTCTTTTGAAACATCTCCAATAGTTTGGTGGCAGAAAAGGGAGAAGAACCATCCCTGCGTGCATATTCTTCCTTTTTTTTTTTTTTTTTTTTTTTTGCAGGAAACTGGTATTAAGTTAGGAGTTATTTGATACACCCTGAGCAAACTGCTTTCCAGTTATCCAGGTTGCATCTTACCTTGGTGTGTAATTGTTGCTAAATAGCCTGCTCGGTGACTCTGCAGGATGAACTTCTAGGCATCACTTGCCTTTGTGATCACAGGGAGGCATGTTGTTGACAAACACTGTCAAGCTCGTGATTTCTGGAGAATTGCCTCTTTTGGATGGAGGGCGAGGTGGTTCGCCAACTCTTGTTGCAAAACTGGCACAGAAGGATGCCAGCTCTGCTGTTCAGCAGTTGGTGTGCCCATCAAACCAGTCATAAAAAAACATTTCCTGGGAAAAGGGATGTAACATGTCTCAGCGTTCCATTTCCAAGCTCAAGTGATTCGAGATGGGAAGCGTTTTGCTGCGATGTTTTATTTCATTCACCGCAGAACGAAGTTAATTAGTGGCATCGTGAGCGAAGGGCGGTGTTTGCGGGCCCCCACAAGAGGAGACGCGCTTATCCGGGAAGGTTTTCAGGCGTGCCAACATTCGCATTAACAACTTTCAGAGTCGTCCTTTTTTCTTTCATAGATTAATAAGGGAAGTGTAGGTTGCTGTTGGACCTAAAAATATTTACAAATAGTGGATTCGTTTCAATAGAGTATTTAAACTCACTTTATGTCTGGCCCAGTTTATTGTTTGTAAGACCACTGGGCAGACATATAAATCTTCTAAATGAATGAATGAATGAATCTGTGTCTGTCTGTCTGTCCGTCCATCCATCCATCCATCCATATCTTCT